CATAGTTGATCTCAGCAGGGGAGAACTTCTTAGAATAGAATGCCACCGGATGTAGCTTCCCATCATCCCCATACTGAGAGAGCACCGCTCCCTTGGCAAAATCACTGGCATCTGTCTCGACCACCGTTCTCCTACTAGGGTCAAAATGAAGGAGGATTGGAGCGCTTGTAAACAGCCTCTTGAGTTCTTCAAAGGCCTGCTCATGTGCTGCTGTCCAATACCATTTCTTGTCTTTTTGCAGGAGGTCAGTTAGTGGTTTGCAAACCTTACTGAAGCCTTCAATAAAGCGGCGATAGAAGTTTGCAAATCCGAGGAATGCCTGTACCGCCTTGATATTCTCAGGGACCGGCCATTCCTTAACTGCCTCCACCTTGTCTTCTGACATAGATACTCCTTGTTCCGAGATATGATAGCCTAGGTATTCTACTTCTCGGACATGGAAGGATGTCTTATTGATCGAGGCACAGAGCTTAGCTTCCCTAAGCTTCTGTAGTACCTTCTTGACCAATAGCTCATGCTCTTTCTCAGTCTCCGAGTAGATGAGGATGTCATCGATATAGACAACTACTCCTTCATCCAGTAGTTCCTTTAGCACATCATTGATCATTGCCTGGAAAGCGGAGGGAGCATTGCATAGGCCAAATGGCATCACATTGTACTGATACAGTCCATAGCGGGTTCTGAAAGCGGTTTTCCACTCATCACCTTCGGCTATCCTGATCAAATTGAAGCCATTCTTCAGGTCTATCTTTGTGAAGATCTTGGCCTTGAACAACCTGTCTCTGAGCTCACTCATGATAGGCAGCGGGTACTTGTCCTTGACAGTGACCTTGTTCAAACCTCTATAATCCACACAAATCCGCAAAGTCCCGTCCTTCTTAGGAATGAACAGTATGGGTGCCGCAGCAGGGCTATTCGATCTAGAGATCTTTCCTGAAGACAACTCTTTGTCCAGGTACTCTCGGAGGGCCTTCAACTCTGGAGCGGAGCATGGGTATAGCGGGCCAAATGGGGGAGCGGTCCCAGGCAAGAGTTTGATCTTCAGATCATTATGGGAATGCGGCGGCATTTCCTCAATCTTCTCTTGACTGAACACATCAGCCCAATCCCGGTATAGGTGGTGTATTTTCTCGGCAATATCACCTCCGTCCTCATCATGCCATACTGAACCAACCAATTGATAGACTGTCTCTTCTTCTTCCAACATTTGGTATGGAGAGATCAGTTCAATCTTGGTGGCCGCTGGGAGACAATTCTGCTTGCAGTAGTCACTCCTCCAGCTCATGGTGTTGAGTTCCCAGTTGATGTCCGGGTTATGCTTCCTAGCCCAACTAATTGGCAGGTAACCGGTCATTCCTTCTTCCAGTGTAGCCACCTCCCATCGGAGTGTCTCTTTATGATCTCCCATAGTCATGCGGACCGGGTGAGTGTAATACTCGCCTCCTCCCATCATGACATCTCCTTGAGCATCAAACATTGTCAGAGGTTGATCCCGCCGCACTAAGGGAATTCCATGTTTCCTGACAAAACTCTGGTTGAGGATAGCTCCTGTACAACCGGTGTCAAACAGAAAAGACCCTTGGGCGCCTTCATCCTTTCCTTTGACCGTCCATGACAGTCCTGCCTTTAGTATAGGTCTTTTTCCATGTACTGGTAAGGAGGGAAGCCTCTGTTCCAACCTTCTTTGCTTAACAGCGGGTTCTGAACTTGTTTCTCTTTGTCTTTTCAACATAGCTAATAGCTTCGGGCACTACTAAGATCAGAGATCCTTTGGTTCTATTCCCAAGCGGTAATATAGCAGATATATTGTGTAGTAATCTTTTTAGCAGTGGTTTGGAAGTGTCTTGGTAGCAAAATGTAACTTTGGTAGAGCACTGACAGACCAGCTGTTTCGGGTCTTAAACCCATCCTCAGAGTGCTTGGAGCAATCAAATAGGCGGAAACACAATCATAATTTATTCAAGAGAAACATAGAAACCAAAAACCCATATAAAAGAAAACTAGTAAACATAGACTAAAACAGACACTTTTTCTACCAGATGATTTCATTGTCCGAGTCTTGCTCAGGCTGAAAAACAAAATCTTCTGTAACCTCCGGGAGTACAACAAGTGGATCTTCTGCTACTACAGCAGCCACTTTAGCCTTCTTCTGAGAGTTGGATTTGCCATTCCCTCTTTTCCGTTTTTGTACTCTCACTGCTGCCACTCGGACAACAGTAGGTTCCTTGGACCAACAATCGGTCCATTTGTGTCTGGACTTGCCGCACTTCAAGCATACTTCTGCTTTCCTTCTTTCTTCTAGAATATCCCCCGGGATACCCTTCAGTTCCACCGCTTTGTCTTTAGGTCCTGGAGTCTTCTGAGGTCCGGAGGAGCTCGCAGCTTCTCTTTTCCTCTTAGGCTGCTGGTCCTTCTGAGTGGGAGGATCTTTCTTGGTCCGAGGGTGCGCTTTCTCAGCTGCCATCCCTTGGTACCTCTCATGGGTATGCCCTAACTCTCTTAGAGCAGCTATCCGCTCCATCAAGGACTTTGGCTTGGGGTTGAAAAGAGCCCAACTCATGCCTAGGTCCGGAAGGAGGGAGTTATGGATCTTATCATCCACCAACTGACCCTCATAGCCAGTCTTCCACATTAGCTGAATAATAGTATTCAGGAAGAGGTCTATTCCTCCTCGAGCTGTGTGGGTGAGGGTATTCCATTGGGCTACAGCATCATCTCTAGAGATGGCTTCACCGAAGGCAGCTCTAAAAGCATCCACAAAGGAATCCCAGCGCTTCCATCTCTGATCCAACTGCACCGGTATTCCAGCAAGGCGGTTGGCGGAGGCTTGATCAATTGAATTGTGGTATGCCTCATACCATCGGATCGCTGCCTCCCCTTCCATCAAGTTGCCTGCATATCGGATCTTAACCTCCTCAGAGGTAAATGACAGGCTCTCAATGGAGAACACATTCTCACATTGCCGGATGAAGGTTTCCACTTGCTCCGCCTTGCCTTGGAACTTTGATGGTGGTGGTGCCTTTGGTTCTCGAGCTCTGGTGGAAGTAGAAGGGTGGGAGGTGGTCGGAGGTTGATACTGCTGGGACATCATTGCCAACAGATTTTTCTGTTGCTTCTCCAACTTCTTCTTAAGGTATCTCCGCCAACCTCTTCTGTTATTACCTTCTGGTTCCGAGTCTGAGCTGTCAGAATTATCCGAATCTCCTGGGATGGGAGCACGGGCTGCTGGAGGTGGAGGGTTCTGATTTCCGCCACTTCCTCCTCGTGCCTGAGGTGGAGGGGGAGCAGCGGCCGCAGCAGGAGGGGCCACAGGTGCTACTGGTGCCGGGTTGCTAGCCAGTGGTGAGGTTGCTGCTGGTTGAGCAGCCCCAGACATGGTAAACCTTCCTGGGTTCCTGGCTAGCGGACTAGGAGGTCCTCGGCCTGCACCTGAGAAGAACTCTCCTTCATAGTCAAAGGATCGGTCGGCTCCTCCAAGGAGTGGATGTGTTCCACCGAAGCGGCTAGGTGGTAAGGGTGAAGCCCCCACCGCTGGCTGTACAATAGGGATAACTCTCCTAGTGGATCGGACCGGAAATGCTGCAAAGGGGCTGGTCTTCCGCTGCATTGTTCTGGTAGCTGCTCTGGATGAGGACCTGGAGACTGAAAGTGGTGCCGGAGTTGCTGGTCTACCCACCACCAACCTTCCTTCATCAAGAGCTCTCTGTATCTCGGCAACAAAGTCTGGTGGAGTGGCCGGATTTGTCCACTCAATCTCCATGGCATCAACATCGGCATTTAGTTCATCTCTTTCTGCATACTTCCGGAGCTCTTCCTGAACAGAGTTGACTTCCGACCTCATGTACTCTAGAGCTTCTGCCATCAGAGCATTCTGTGCTGCCTGGCGCTCTTGTACAACGAGCAGTGCCTGACTGCCTCGGTTCAACTGACTCTGCAAGCTATGCTGGAGGTAGGTCTGAAGCTCTGTGAAGAACTGTTGTAAGGGAACCTCATCGGTATCCTGCCAGGCAGGCTCACAGCCGGGAATATAGGCCTGTAGAGCGGTCCTGGGTTTCTTAACAAGCTGTGTCTGCCCGGTGGCATCAAGCTGGAGGGGCACCGGCTGCCATTCAATCTGAAGGGGTGCATCTGGAGCCGAGAGGGCGGACATTTTGTATAGAGGAAGAATAATCTGAAGGTGACTTGAGCCTTAAAGATTATCTGTAACGGGGGTCCTTTCTAAGAGAAATAGATTTGTATAGAATAAAGACGGCCGTGCAAGATAGACAATCAGGTTGCAGATTATTCAAAGATACTATCGCTAGAACTCAATAATCTTTAAGGGCTCTGCTACCGATGAGAACTTGGTTTTTCTTTCTGATGAAGACTGGAGAGAATAGGACTGAAGGGCGGGAATGAACCTGAGTACTTATACTCCGAAGGCCTCTGTTCTCTGCTCCTAACTCCTTTACTAAGTTCCGGTGGGCCTTCCCTCAGTACCGGAAACAATACCACCGCTACCCCGCTTTTCTCTAAGCGTCAGCAGGTGTTTCCGATACCCAAGGCAACCACCCTTAGTCAAAGCCTTTGTAACACCTGCAGCCTTGGTTGCCACACAACTGAGGACCTGCATGAATGAGCTGCCGCTCAGGTGTAAGCTTAATCATTGCTGTAGAGCTTTCGCTTATTGTAGACTTCCCTAGCATAGTCCCTGCCCTTCGGCGGACTTATAATGCACCGAGGATACAGAGGATCACCGGTCAATCAGAGCTTCACTCTGGCCGGTCTTCTAGTCACTGGCGAGGCATAGACTCGTCAGTCATTGCTCCCATGAATAGATCCTCTTCCTAGCGCCCGGAATGTAGTTACTCTAACAGCTGGTAGCTAACCACACTGCCGGTACTTGCATATCACCGTGCAACTGGCTTCTAACAATAGCTCTCAGCATGTAACCGGGCCCTGTGTGTACTCATACACCAGACAGTTGAAATGGCTCCGTTACAGAAGGGTACGATGCAATTATGGTAGTCGTTGACCGGTTAACAAAGATGCGACATCTCCTGCCCTGTAATACAACTGTCAACTCCGAAGACGTCGCCCAACTATACCTGCGAAACATATGGAAGCTCCACGGGCTACCCACACATGTCACCTCCGACCGCGGTACGCAATTTACAGCCAAGTTTTGGAAGGCTCTTTCTAAACACCTCGACATCGAAGCAAGGATGTCTACCGCCTTCCACCCGGAGACCGACGGCCAAACCGAAAGGCTGAATGCTGTAATGGAGCAATATCTACGTGGGTATGTCTCTTATCAACAGGACGATTGGGTAAAATGGTTCCCCATGGCAGAGTTCTCCGCCAACAACCAGGTCTCCGCATCCACTAAAGCTACACCATTCTTCGCGAACTATGGATTCCATCCCCGGTTCACAGTGACGATTAAATCGCTTGACAGGACCCCACCGAGTCTCAATGCTGAAGACTTCGCCTCGAAGATGAAAGAACTCCATGAATACCTACGTTCCAACATCTGCACAGCGCAAGATCAACAAGAGCAGGCCGTCAACACCAAACGAATGCCGGCTCTACGGTACGATATCGGCGATATGGTGTTTGTTTCAGCAAAAAACATCCGAACCACGCGTAACTCCCGGAAGCTGGACTGGAAGAAACTGGGACCATTCCCCGTTAAAGAAATTATATCGCCATATGCATATCGAGTCGACCTGCCTAGGAGTATGAAGATGCACCCTGTCTTCCATGTATCATTGTTAGACCCCGCTGCAAACGATCCTATACCGGGGCAAATTCAACCACCACCCCTACCTATTATCGTCGAGCAGGAGGAGGAGTATGCAGTTGAGGAAATCTTGGACTCGCGAGAAACACGGAATGGTGGCCTGCAATATTTTGTTAAATGGACAGGCTATACCGACCCTACCTGGGAACCCGCCGCATACCACGATAATACCGCCGCCGTTGATGTCTTCCATACACGTTACCCCGACAAACCTGGGCCGTTGGAGGGCAAGGTTAAGGTTAAGGCTCGCAGGAGCTCGCGCTTGAAGGGAGGGGCTACTTTCATGGATTGACTAGTGGATATACAGAGTTGCGAAGGGTCGAATTAGTCAGAAAGGTTCTATTGGGTTCTACCGGGTTCTGTTGATTGTTAATGTATGAGTTATGTTGGATTTGTCATCGCTGGGATTTCCTTGAGTATATTAAGGGGGATTTGTTTGTATTTCTTGTTCTTCTTCTTCTTCTATCTTTACGCAACGTCTTCTGTATCTATGCGGTCTATTGCTATACAATATTATCGTCCTCTTCTTTCTTTAAGAAGACCACCGCTTCACTTTCTCCTTATCCCGTTGAACCTTACCAATGCTAGAGTCCCGTAGGACCCCTATTGCGAGTTCCCATACCATCCCCTATTACACTCTTCGTACCCTGCGGAATACTCGCTACTCACCCCCTTGAGAGCTTGCTGCCCATGGGGGGTTGGCACGAGATAGTCTATACATTGTACTAGTAGTGGCCCACCTTGCAACCGCGAGTTGTATTTTGGATTATAGGTATCAATTTCAAGTGTTAAAACCTTCAATCGGGGGTCCTTCAGCCTCGTTCGATCGTGAATGCTCAGAATTTTGATATGTTGGGCTTACTAAACCGCCCCTATCCCTCTCGACCAATTAAAGTGCAAGGACTTCAGAAGAGTCGAGTTTCAATACATATTAGAAGATAGATTAGATATTAGACTGTCTCTATTCTTTATTTTGGAGTTTGTCTTTTATGATATATATCTAGAGTATTCAGTTTAATACTTAAATACGTATACCTATAAGGAAATACTGTATGTACTACCTCGACCTATAGCTATTAAACCTATTAATAACACTAAATAAACATCATTATTCTTAGGCAGATGATATATATAGCTATTGTACTTATATCATAGTTCATGTACCAATTCTGGTTCCCTGTTCAAGCCGCTGTACTACGCGTACTTTGATCAATTGAGACTACCTTTGGGGAGCGCTGCTGTGCTGGAGCTGGTTTGGTACATATTCACAGGTGCATAAGGATTGCGCACGTATAATAGAGTGATGGATAAGCTATCACTAATTCTCATAGAAACAAAAACACATGTATCTCAATCTTATACTAAGAGATGATTTTTCACGACATTTCACTGAACGCATAAGTAAATAAATATTGTGTTTGATGTGAGCCTTGACCTTGCGCTGTTCTACGCACACCGGATATCCATGTACTAGCAATGCCGACTGGAATTTCGGTCACATAGGGATCCATCTAGAGAGTAGCAAAGGCATGCCAGTTTCTACTCTCACCTACGCATTATTTAACCTACAGGTGATCGAAATTCCAGCCGACATCGTTAGTAGATACATATATATCCCCATATATATTTACATACCTATAAGTGGTTTCCGGGATTCCGCCGGTGCTAGATATGTGTCGACCAGTCCAATATCCAGGCAAGCCGCTTTGCGGCTTATTATCTCTATTTGTCTATCACTATCTGTTCTGTTTAATATGTACCTTTTCTGATATCCCCCATATATCAGTAGATAGGTCAGGCAATTTCTCCAGTTCAAGCTGCAAGTTTATCCCTTTAATAGCCACCAAGGTGCTAAATCGAACTACTAATAATACCCATAACCAGAAGAAAACCTCTTAACAATCTAACACCACTCCGCACAATACCCTATATTCATATCCAACACAAAATATTTCAAGTGAAACAAAATCTCTCTCAATGAGCCAACCAGAAGCTTTGGAATGCACATGTGATAGATCATGGTTCGTTGATCATTGACAGGAGCGGGAAGAGAGTTGTAATCCTCGTCCTCAAGGGGGCTCACCCTAGCGGATGTATTACTGTATCTACTTCTCTTTCTTTTCTTATCCTTCTTACCTTCTAATAAATCATCTATCTATTCGTGCCAACAACATACATATGCAGGTTATAATTATATACTTATTAGATGTAGATATATAGAGTATAAATTACATGTATAAACCTACTAAAGTTTAAAGTTGCTTGAGCCCTTTGCCTATAAGAGGTGATGGTTTCACAGCCAGCGCTTTTATCGGATCAATACTTCTACCAGCAATGGTGGAAAACGGCGTATCTTAATATTAGTACGTTTTTGAGCTTATCCTTGATTAAGGTATATGTACTCTATTATCTGAGATTATAATTAGATCTATATATATTCTCTATAGGAAAGGGAGTTATATTACCTGATACTTCGGAAAGTTATTTACACATACTCAAGATGAGTAGATTTCGTACATCTGTCATACATGGTATATATCCACAATACATGTATCTACACACGCCACATCGGATGGACTCAAAATAAACAATAGACAGGTTGAGAAATCAACATTTGGGAAGTAAAATACAAACTTGGAGCAGTGAATTATATACACTACCTTGTGGGTATCCGCCGAATGCCTTGGAATATCCATCAACCAAGATGTAGAAAATAAGAAGAAAAGCATTTCACAGAACTCATATCCGTAACAATCCACTCATAAGAACCCTTAAATCCATCGATGACATGAGAAACGGGAGAATCCTGCAGCGTTAATCTAACCTTGCAAGAATTAAAATATGTAGAAACGATAAAGGTTCCGCTACAGCTCAAAAGAGGAACCCGGGTATTAAAGGACCGATCAAAAAGGAAACAAAGGAGTACATCAAAAGAATCAATTTTCTAACCCCCCCCCCCCCCCCCCCCGCGGGGCCCTGAAGTACCAAAGGTTCCGCCAGTACCTGTTATTGGCCTAAAAGTTGGACGAGGTGTTAACAACACCAGGAGGCTTGTGGTACTGATCGAGAGTAGCTTTAAATGGAGACGCCTCAGGGCTTGCAGCATGCATTTCCCTCCCTGCAGCAAGTGGTGATCCATCACGACGCATCAAATCATCCTCATCAATTGGATTGACCCTCTTCCTCTTCAGACGCCACGCAACAATTGCAAGTCCACCAAACAGAAGCGCACCACCAACACCGACAACAACTCCAATTATAGTGTTTCTCGTTGAAGTCGAGAGACCCGAGCCACCGTCGTTACTGCCCCCAGATGCCTGGCTGGCCGCGGTCCCAGTTGGGGTCTCAACGGTGGTACTGGATGTGACGTATGAACTAACCATACCATTCCCACTGAGGGTGGTATAAATCGTCGCTACAACTATACGAGTAGTCGGGCTAGCAGTGACTATATCCTCAGACTGGGCAGTGGTCTCTGCAGGATCTGTTGAAGTAGTCTCCGCAGGAGGCCTCGGCGTTGTCGATGTCGAGGTTGGTGTTGTAGTCGTTGTGTCTGGGGGGGTAGGGGTGGTTGTGGTTGTAGGGGTTATTGTGGTTGTAGGAGTCGTCGGTGTGGTCCGGCTGGTAGTGGTGGTTGATGTTGGGGTAATTATAGAGGTAGTCCTCGAAGTAGTTGATCTACTTGATATCGATGAGGAAGAGGAAGAGGAGGAAATGGAAGTCGAGTTATTGTCTTGACGCTTGTCGAGTTCGGGCAATTCCAAGTCATCAAAGGGTATTGGCGCCGGGTTGCCCAGCGAAGATCCCACTAGTAGACACAAAAGCGAGAGACAGATGAGGAGGGTTGATATTTTGGCCATGATTGATGGTCTGAAGGGTGAGTACGATAGAGAAACAAATTTATTAGGGGGAACCCCCAAGTTGCAAGAGAAAAACTTTAATAGTCGGGGAGAGGGGTATGGTATGTACTAATAGGCCGCGTGACTTCTGGGAATAAAGAGAGGAAGGCCGGAAGGTGCTTTTTACACTGGGCTCTATGTAATTCCCCAGTGTAACCTGTCTTTTCCTTTCAGACAGTGGAGGAAGTGTTCGATCGGAAACGAACAAAAGAGAGGTGGCCGCCGATAATCGGAAGCCACAAAAAACAAACGAGCGAAATGAAGCAAAATTTATTTGCTATGTATGTATAATATATATGTGTGTTATGTATATTTATACTGGCGTAATGAGCGAGAAGAGGAGTGAGTTTAGGCGGGAAGAAGAATAATACTGGCGAAGTGGGTGGGTAAGTGGGTGGGTGGATGGTAGGATGCGTGAAGTGAGTCGAGTGAGCGAGCGACAAAACAGTGGTTTTCAAAACAAAATTGAGGAAGTATGTGTGTGGGTAATGTAGCAGCACTGCCAGTGGTGGGATTCTGTCTGATGAAGGCATCAGTGCAACAGGGGGGTGGAGAGGATAATAGAAGGTGGCGACGACGCTGACAACACCCACCCCCCTTCCCCCGGAAACGTGAAAGCCGGTTTGAACTAGTAGGGAGCGTCAACTAAGTTAAGAACAGGAAGAAGGGTCGGACCCTGAACAGAAGAAGTTGCACTTATGTTGAATAGGAATCTAAAGAGGAAACAGAACAGCCCGATACCCTGGAGAGAAAGTGCAAAGGGAAGCCAGGAACAACAGTAGGGGCAAATAATCAGAAAAAGGAAACAAAGCCGCAGGAGCAGACGTCGTGACAGCCAACCAGCTACTCCTATTGAAAGCTTTGACGGCTATGTGAAACTGAGCAGAGTCTTGAGCTGCACAACCGGCACGCCGTTACCCCATCGGCCTTAACCTGACATGTAGCTGTTACTCTGCCTTCCTATTTCCCTTGGCATGGTAGAGTACCTACATGTAGAGTACGTACTCACGACAGGCATGAAGTACCCGAATATGCAGCTGCAAGTTTTTGGTGTATTTTTGACTTCTACTCCAATGGAAATTGCAGATTAGGATGTGCATTTTCGGGTACTTATTACCTGCCGCGAGTACATGTACTAGTATCTTCTTGACGTTTTTGAACTGGGCCATTATTGCATACACCCAAAATCATGAGCTTGGCGTATTTTTGTATAGCATGCAATATCAGTCGCGTCCACAAACGTCAGGAAAATACGAGTACATGTATGTACATCATATGTAGAGTACCCTAGATTCGAGTAGGTATGCACATCTATCGTAGCTAGAGTACCGTAGGTGTCTGTACTTGTTACTAGTGTTTTATTAATTGAGCCTTTAATTGCACAAAAGATTACAGCTCTAAATTCGGATTATCTGATTGGCTGATGGCAGGACCAATCAGGTTATCGGAATTTGGAGCTGGAGTCTTTTGCGACCGTCAATTCTGACAATTGACACTTCGCCACTCATCCGCAAGCCTTAATTCTGGATATTGGGGTTGCTTGCTAGGCTGTGAAATGCGTCAAGAGGATACAAAATGCAGCCTACGCATTTCATATCCCGTCAGCGTATATCACAGATAGTGTGAGGAATTATCGAATCTTCAGCGTTACCCCAATTGGACAAGCACACATTTCTTGTGTCACTAGCTCTCTGTGTCAATTTTGCCCTTTGCAACCGTCAATTTCGAAGTGTCAATTGTCGAAAATGACACTTAGCAAATACGCTCTATTGTGCAGATATATACCGTACCTACAATAACAAAAGTTCTGGTTTCAAAGTTTACAGCCCAAGTACCTACATATAGAGTACATGTATGTGCCTATGTATGTTTAGCTATAGTCGAGCAAGCAAATTGGTTGTCGGTTTTGTATACAAATTTTGTCCTAGTACATGCAGTAGAACAAGTAAAAGTACATGTACATATACACTTGTACATATAGTAGCACCGCCCGAAATCCTCACCAAGATTAAGTGCAAACAAGGTAACTGTGAAATCGATCTTGATGGTTGGACTACATGTATTTCTAGTAGTCGAACAAAAGATACATGTATCTACATGTAGTAATTCAGTAGACCTTTGCTATTAGAGCGTATTTACTAAGTGTCATTTTTGACAATTGACACTTCGAAATTGACGGTTGCAAAATGCAAAATTGACACTTCCCCTCCATAGGGATATGAAATGCGCAAGCTGCAAAATGGCACTTGTGGATGCCGCTTTGGAGAGTGGCGAAGCGCCAATTGTCAGAATTGACGGTTAGTAAATACGCTCTATTTACAGCAATATATACATGTATCTTGAACCTTCAGTACAGCACTGTCATATTGTGCTTACGGTACCGGAACTTGTGATGAAACTAATACCGCACTAGTGGATTTCCGCCTTATCTCCGTGTTTTAGCAAAGAAAACCGCAGTGCTATGGTATTAATTGTGTAGTAATTTCTGTCACTGTAGGTACATGTATGTAGGTATGTACACATAAGTCAGTGTGTACATACATACATACATTTACTATGGAGCAGACTGTTCTCGTTTCGGAATATCAGATAAGACAACAGCGCAAGCAGCTAGCGATGTTAGTATTAGCCTTAATCGCTACATGTAGATACATGTATCTAGAGTAAGACTTACCTAAAGAGAAAGTCTCAAGTACCGATACACACCTAAATACCGGCTTGCTTTTTGCAGCTGACATCTGAATTTTTTTCCCTCCATCAAGAGCTTTCAGAACACCTCATGAACCCTCCTCATTCACTCCCATAACGCGACACTCACCTCCTCTACTTTCACCTCTCGCCGACATGACCATAAGTCCTGTGTTATCAAGTGCTCTCTCTTCTGCGCACGCTTCTGCCCTACTGACTATTCGGGAAGCTCTGTCGGGTATCTCGGGTACCATATCCCTCGTTTCATGGATTGTTCTGCTCGTGCGTTGAACCTTTCATCCCATGTTGCGACTGTAACTGTGTCCGTGTCCGTGTCTTGACTGACATCATTCTGCTTGCGCTGCAGGTACCACAAATTTTAGAGAACTACAAAAATCAAAGTGGTGATGGTGTATCTACAGCCTTTTTACTCATATGGCTTTTCGGCGACATTGCAAATTTGGCTGGTCTGTTGCTCATTTCCTCCGTGAATGCAATCAACTGCCCACATCTACTCTCGCGAGCTGCATACGACACATGGTCGCTGTTACCAAAGATTGCTGATCCCCATTTGTAGGTGCCGTAAAGTCCAATCTGCTTTCCACCGTCATCACTCTCGCCATATACTTCTGCCTTGCAGATATTATCATAATATCCCAGACTTTTTATTACAAGCATGTCAATGCGCGAAAGATAGCTGTCAAAGAAGCACGACGTCAATCTCGCTCAAGCAACGTAGACGACCCCACCCAACCATTGTTTTCCCGCCGCAGAAGCTCAGGCGCAAACTCCCGTAACAGGCCTTCTGGAACCATACCTAGTAATCCTGCCCTCTCCGCCGTTGCTGAGAAAGATGCCAGTACCATGGAGGAGATGACTCGAAATTTCTTCTCGATAATCTCAGTGATATTTATTGGCTGCCTTGGATGGTTTCTTGCTTGGAAGAGTGGCGCATGGTCTGTTACAGTCGAGGATGGAGACAGCATCGAGATGTCCTTGATTGGTGCAATCCTGGGATATATAAGCTCTGTATTATACCTTGGGTTGGCCATCTATAGTCCGGTTATTAAGACAGAATCTGATATTATGAGTAGAGCTAGGATTCCTCAGATTATGAAGAATTACCGGTGCCAGTCTTGTGAAGGTACCTCCTAGGAGCTTGCATTCATGCATCTTTCCTATTTTACCAGAGCTAACCCCTTGTGAAGGTCTCTCAATTTTGTTTTTTATATTATCCTTGTTGGGAAACATCTCCTATGGAGCAGGAGTTAGTAACACCAAGCGTTCCGCTATCTGAGTTTAGCTTACTTATTTTCTAGATTCTGCTTCATTCTACTGAACATGACTATGTGATCCATAACCTCCCCTGGCTGATTGGGAGCTTGGGAACAATGGCACAGGACTTTATTGTAAGTTTGTGATGAGTTATGATTTGCTTTATACCCCGCTAATATTCATTTTGATAGATCTTTGGACAATTTCATTATTATAAAGGAAAGAAACTCGATGGTTCAGCTGTTGTTTAGAATGGTGTTATGGAGTTAAAATGGTTTCTTCCTTCTTTTGGATTATGGATAAATTGGAATTGGCTCCATAGAATCCTACATACATGTATGTATTTTGTATTTTGAATGGGTAATGCTGCATGTACAGTAGACTCTCGCTATAAGGATATTTGATATAAGGATATACTCGCTATAAGGATACCAGTGGCCGTTCCGCAACCGCCGTTTTGCTAGCATTCCCCACTTTCTATAAGGATAATTCGCTATTAATTCGCTATAAGGATAGATATTCTTGGTCCCGACCGTATCCTTATAGCGAGAGTCTACTGTACATGTAGCCTCATAGCCAAACACATAACGCCAAGCTAGTATTTGGCATAAATCTACTACATGTACTACAATACTCTACAAAACATACTGCATAGTACATGTATGGGCCACAGGAGCTTCTTCTTCTCATACCACTACTACATGTACTACTACTGCATAGAATAATACGTCAATGGAAACGTAGGTTCGGAGGCTATCAAATTTTCGGTTTGCTCTATGGCTCGCAGAGGTTCTTGTGGCCTAAATCAGCTTGGTTATTTATATTTAGGGCACTCCTTTACTTGGAAAAATCCGCTTCGTGTCTTGGGAAAACATTCATAATTAATCTCATATACTTAGAAGGTACAGTAGAATATAAAGTATGTATATACATACATCTTATAAAGATGTGCGCGCATGGAGCCTTCTGTTGCGCTGCCATGAGTAGCGCTTTGCTCTTACACATGTACAGTACTACATGTAGTGTTGCGTCGCTTTACTTACATACCCCCAGTAGAGATTCCGTTGCTTTGGGTTACCTATCTATGTACCTGCTCCGCCGCAACTTACTCGCTGAAGACGCCAGATTGTAGATAGGTTTACTGAACTCTGGCCCCTGATCCCCCTGCATTCTTCACAATTACGACGATATGGATATCATGGACACAAAGTCTGCTTCGCCTATGACGGCAAATCCTAGTGAGTCTTTCCGTGGGGTCGATCCTGATGGTTTCGTACTAACGTAGCGTGTAGCACCTTCACACAAGAAGAAGAAAGCGAACAAGAAGAAGAAGGAACAACAAGATAGTGGCGAACAAGAAGGCCTATCGGCATCTAGACCAAACTCCCCAAGTCCCGCTGAGGAAGCTAAAGACAGGGACAGCGAGCTTGGGGATGACGATGTAGAAGGGGAGAAGAAAGATGGCTCCGAAATCGCGGTATTTGGTCCCATTTGCCATTATAAAAGAGTTCCATTACTCAAGGGACGTACAGAATTGCGCGCCTTGCGCTCCTAACGGCCGAGAGAATCAGCACTATTTAAACGGCAATAAAGACGACAGGTCTGTTAAAGACGACGAGGATGCGCTACGGGACAATCTAGCGAAGGGGCTCAGAAGGACTCAGGAGTTGGAGGGGCTGGTGGAAGCTTTAAAAAAGCAGTTGGAGGAGGGTTCATCACCAGCAGAGGCTAAAGCGCAGGCTAGTGAAGAGCTGCAGAAGGAAAGATTGAAATCGCAGGAGCTGGAAAAAGCTGTACAAGATTTGAAAACTCGGCTTTTGGAGAAGTCGGAACCCATAGTAAAGAGCACAGAGGGGCTTCGCGGTTTGGGTGGAGAATCTCCGGCACAGAGGGAAATGGATACTGCCAAACTGCGACAACTACTTGAGAGAGAGCAAGAATTTCGGGAAAAGGACCGTCTTGATGCAGAGCAGAGGCTAGCGAAAGTACAGGAAGAGAAACAGCAACTAGACACTCAATACAAAGCACTCCTTGGAAGGGTCGCGCACATCAGAACAACTCTCAGTGATAAACTGAAATCTGACGCAGTGGGTAAACCCGTAGTAGAGTTCGAGTAAGCTAGTGAATATTAACACACCACACAGGAAGAACTCGAACGTACTCGGAATATGGTGGATAACTTAGAGGAAGAAAACCGAACTCTCAATCAAACCATAAACAATCTTCAGGCCGGTCTAGAAAAAGCAAATGAGGAAGGCTATGATGCTTCAAAGGAACTCTCAACACTTCGGAGTAGATTAAATCTCTCTCAACAGAATTGGATTAAAGAAAGGAACGATTTAATTAGTGCAGAAAAATACTCTCGTGAGGAGTATGAAGCTGCCAAACAGGCGATGCAGGAATGGGAGATTATAGCAACAGAGGAGCGATCTGTGCGGGAATCATTAGGAGACCGCGTCATCGAATTAGAGGAACAGCTGGCCAATCAACAAACCGCATATGATAAAGTTCTCTCGGAAAGGGACAGGGAGTCTAGTACAGTTGACGGTCTTCAGAGAGCGTTACAGGATATACAAAATGGTATTGATACTCTTCTGACCTATGAAGCTTATTCCTACTAACCATTTCTAGCACGTAAGCAAGAATTGCGGGAAGTTGTTGAGACCATGGAGGCGCAAATAAACCAACTAGCATCAAAAGGAGAAGTTCTAGAGAAACGGGCAAAGGAAGCTGAAGCACAGTTAATTACAGCTCAGCGGGACCTTGAGCGTGTCCTACCATTTGAGAAAGAGGTTAAAGAGAAGAACCTTCTTATTGGAAAACTTCGTCATGAGGGTAGGCCTTGCAATGACCTTATATACCTCAAGCATATTAAAGAAACTAATACCACCTTCACTAAGCCGTCACTCTTAACGATCATCTTAGAAAAGCTCTTCGTATGTTGAAACGTGATAACGCTGACGATAAGATTGATAAGTACTATCCCATTATATATCACAAACACTCTGTATCTGTCTGATATGCCGCTGACCTAGTGATTATAGAAATCTTGTGACAAATGTTTTCCTTCAGTTTGTTAGCATACAAAGAGGGGATTCTAAGAAATATGAAATTCTTCAGCTAATTGCCTCTGTACTTGACTGGAATGATGGTTAGCACAGCTTCTCGCCTTTATACCCTCAAAACCCGAAAGATAATATATACTGATAACAGTTTGGCATCATAGAACAACGTGAGAAAGCCGGCCTTGTTCGACCAGGTACCGCCGCCAGTTCACAGAGTTCTTTCCTCAAAACGCCACCGTTGTCTCCATTCCACCGTTCACCAAGCACACCAACTCTTAGTGATGCGTATGAGGGTAGCAGAGATGTATGTTAAAACTCCAAATACCTGCTCTACAAGTACTAACGAGACAAAATAGATTTGGGCGTCGGTTCTAGATTCCGAGAAGCCCTAGTGGCGATTTCCCAGGCCTTCTTTTATGCGCTTCTGTAATTTATATATACTGGGGACAAAATCAGGAGTTATTGGATTTAGTCAGTGTTTCCCTCCTCGCATGACCCTTATTCTTCATATTTATTTTGCAGCCTAGGCTTTATCTGTCCGTTTCGAATCGTCCCTGTGAAATGGTAAATTTATATGATATCAGGTTTGTTGCTCGCATTTAAATGCATATATTAATTATGCATGTAACAAAATTTAATGACACTTTACAAGTACGTTCGGGCTGTAATTTGAAATTCCAGTAGTGACCAGGTGGAAGAGTTTGAAGCCAAACACAATGCCACATATAAGGGTATTCACTTCCTCAAATACGTGCTCTTTTAGGCATGTGCTTATATGGACCGCTTAAAATAATCGGCAGTCGCGTATTGATCTGAAATACGCATGAGGAGAAAATAAGCATCACTAACCTACCTTATTGTCCAGAATATTGACTATGTATGTGTATAAGCTCAAATCTTAAATTAATATGGTAACAAATTTACTCCCACAATATGGCATGTGCACTCCAGAGGCATTCAAAATCCAGTGCCATATAACTACATGTAGCGGCATTGTAATGCGGTGTTATATACTTAATAAAGGCAGTACATATTTCTAGAAGTGAATAACCCCTATAGTTTGATGAAAATGTGCCTACTAAATATGAGCTTCATTTACAAATATCGGTAAAAGACTAAGATGCCGCGGCCGCGGATTCTTGTTGTATGCCGCGCCCAAATGAATGCCACAGCGGGCGAAATTTTCTGAGTGCCATAGCGTTATACACTAGTGGAATCTCTTCATAAAGGTACGATGGGACCGCGAGATGGTACCCTTATAAGACAGGGATACAATTAATGAAGTAATCAATCAATTCTAGGGTTATGAGGGTTAGGGTTTATATCCAAACTTGAGTCAGTTTTCGAGTAAAATAATCTACCTGTTATGTAGAATTTAACCTATAAACTTAACGAATATGATATATAGTACAGTACAGTGTTTTGTGTACGGCAGTTGGAGAAAAGTTGCATTTTGCTCTCTGTATATACCTAGAGTAGACCCTTCGCCAAAATAACCCTTTCCTGCCCTCATTTCTCTATAAGGGACAGCACCAAAAAACCATCCCAAATTCATAAGGCTTAAGGGTATTCTTATAGCAAGAATACAGCAATTTACGCTTAATTTACTATACAAATCAAATAGGCCCCTACACCGCACTCCTTATAGGGCAATTATATATTCTTATAGAAGGTACGTACGTACCCTTATTATAGGGAGATTCGACTGCAGC